AAAAGTGCTCCATACTCACACAATGCTGGTGCAGCTTTAAAAATTTAGATAGTGTCTCAGCCAGGAATGGTGGTGCATACCTGTAACCCCACATCTCCGGAGGCTGACAGGAGGATTGCCAGTTTGAGGCCAGCCTCAGTAACTTAACAGGAACCTATGCAACTTAATAAGACCCTATCTCAAAATACAAACTAAAAAGGGCTGGGGATGTAGCTCAGTGGTAAATTGCCCCTGGGTCAATCTCTGCTACCCCCAAATGAATAAACAAAACTCAAGAGAGTGTGTCATAAGGACATTTAATTGTGCCTGATATTTGTTATTCCAATTTTATTGGATGTTTTTCTCTGTTCAGGTTCTGGTCCCAAAAAGAATGGATGTAAATTTCAAAAGCCRTAATACAGGTTCTACATCATTACCTTTGTACAGACAGTTTTGTCCTAAGGCTACTTAAGGAGCCAAAAAAAGCTTGCAGAGGTGAAACTTCTTCAAATGAATATTTATTCCTTCTCCCACTCCAATTAGAGAATGAGAGGATAGGATATATACTTTGTGCTTTTTATTTTTTCTTCTGATATTGGCTCACTGGTTGAAGGCACTTTATACAATAAATATTTGTTAAAATAAACAGGAATGAAATATGATAGAGACCTTACGAATAACTCTGTAGGGATCAGTATATATATGCATGTTAATACCTACTTGTTAGGGAACCCCAAGATGAAAGTTTGTGAATCGCCTTTCTCTTGGGGGTGGCTTTCTTGAAGTATTTATCCTTACAACAGCTAATAGAATACCATATGTTGTAGGATAGATGAATAAAGCCCAGAGTTCTTGCCCCTCAGTCTGAGATGTCAGACTCCTCCAGGATCACATTTTATTCTCCAGTGTTCATTAGTTCCATGTCTATTAAGAATATACTAAGTGCTACAAATTTCTCTAGTCATTAGAGACAGCTGTAAACAAGATAGGCGAAGTCTCTTCTCTCATGGTCTAGCCAGTCTGTTAGGCATTCCCAGATCTTTTTGTTTTTTCTAGGTCTCCCTGCCTTAATAAGTTTTTTAAACTTCAAACACATTTAAAAGCTAAAAGAAGTGTAATCTCCCATTATCCGGTTTCACCAATAATGGACTTGTAGTCAATCCTGTTTCATTGATACTCTCTCCCCTTACTCCATTTTGAATTACTTTGATCATACACATCACATCATTTCACTGACAGTTTTTATATTGCCTCTCCCACACTAAGATTTACACTTACCTCTATCATATTTCATTATTTGTGGCAATTTGTACAAGATTTTATATATAAATGGGTGTTTGTAATGAATATGCAATATATGTACATATGAATGTTTATCCTTTTTATGTTTTGATTACTACTCATCATGGCCATATCCACATACAATATTTCCACAACAACTCTGCACTGGAGATGGAATCATTATAATTAATTATGGATATGAATAGATCTCCCACTGAGGAGTTGGTGATTATCCCCAAACTCTTTGATACCAGAAGTGCTCTGGTTCTATGAGGGGAAAATGGCAGTAGGTCTTCTGATCCCAGTATGTATCAATGACAATTGCTAAAGCATCTCCTATCTATGACATACTGATGAACCCAGCCTAATTCCATCTTAAGTTTGGGAGCCATCATGTCACAAAGTCATGAAAAGTTAATTTCTGTTTTACTATAAATTACTGTGATTTCTAAACTTGTTTGGAATTGCTGCCCATGCCTTGCACTCACCCATGCCTGGCTTTCCCTGACCAGATAAYAACCCTCCCTGAAACCTCAGTGGCGCCTCATAAATTCTGGTGTTGAGATCTAAATTTATTCCCTTCCTTGAAATGTTAAGCCATGTAGATCATTAACCTACTATCTGCCTTTGTATTATGCTTGTCAAAATCCTGTTATCTGTAAGTTCTCAAGACTCCCCCATTTTGCAACTTTTTGTGCTATAAAACTGTGTTCCTGGAGAGCTGGGGTACTGATCTCTAGCTCAGGGTTTTGGGGAGAGATAGCCCTGGCCAGCTCCAGTGTACACCAATACAAGTTTGCTTTAATTTGCTTTAAAATTGGAGTTGGTATTCTTTTCTTTGCGTAGGGGTTTAACAATACCTCACCCAAGCAAGCATTATTCTTCTTTGCATTCTCAGATTAGAAAATATATTTCCTTTGTAACATAACCTTGATATTATTTCTAGGGAAATAAAAATTCTGGGTTATTATATTAAAGGACAATTACCTCCTTTATGTTTTTATTTTAAAAATTTCAAATTTAATTGAGTTCTCTGTGTGGTGTGCTCATGTTTTTAATTGATTTTGTCACACTGAAAATCCTTCAGAGGCTATTTTATTTTAAATAAAATTCAGTACAAAAATCTTAACATGATCTTTTTTCCCCCTCTAACTTGACCTACAGCTGTCCCCCTCCCCAACCTTGATACCTCCCACCTCTCGGGCCTTCTTTAAGATTCTGGATCTTCTTTACCTCAGGAACATCCCACAAAACTATTATATGTGCCTGAAATGTTCTAGTCTCTATCTTGCTTCATGTGGCTGAGTTTTAAAACAATATTCCAACAGCATTACAGAGAGTAATACTATATCTATCATTTAGAACAGAAAACTGGAAGAAACAAGAAGGAGGTAAAATACCATAGAAAATACTCCTGGAATCAAGTTAAAAGATGAAGACAACTCATGGTAAAAAAACAAAACAAAACAAAAAACAACAACAACAACAACAAAAAAACCCCACAAAAACATAGAGATACAGGTATGCTAGATAATACATCATTATCTTGCCAATCTAAATATTTTTCCAGACTCTGTTTCCTTCCTATTTATAATGAAGCATATATCCTTCAATAAACTTTTTWTCTTTTTCAGATATTGTGTTAAGTGCAGGAAGTACAAAGAATAAGCTTGAGTCTGAGTCCTTAAGGAGCTGAGAAAGATGAGAAAACTAAATAAAATGTTTTAACTCATACAGCCAGGAACAAAGGGGGAAAATACCTTGGTATAGGTTATCAGTGAGGAAATGGCATTTGAGAAACAAGGAAAGTCATCCCAGACAGAAGGAATAGTATGAACAAACTCACAGGCCTTTCAAAGAGCATGATGTGTTGGAAATGATAATTGGTTAACTAAACACTGAACATTTCAAATGTTCATGTTACTGAATAGAGAAAGTAGTCTATGGTGGTTGTTTTGTCTTCTTTGAGTAGTACCGATTATCACATTAGCTATTTTTCCTTCTTTGAAATATCAAAGAAAATGAACCAGTGACACAATGTGGGATCAATAATTGATGTTTGAGGAACAGCATGCTAGAGAGCAACAATGACTAATGAGGGACTGGTAGCAAGCACCATTCTTTGGGTTTAGCTGAAGAGATTGCTATGACCTATAGTGGGCAGGAAAGATTTCATGGAAATGATAGGGTTTCCCTTGGTTGTTCAAAAAATATAGTTGAACCTTATTATTTGCAGATTCTGTATTTGTGAAATATTTGGTGAAAAATTTGAGTCACCCAATGTTCGTGTTCCCTGCTAAGGTTGAACAAGGGGATCCTCTGCCTTCTTTTTTTTTTTAACTCTCATACTGGAGACAAATGTCTCTTCTCAGTCTCTTTATTACCATTTTAAAACAAAATTTTGTGCTTTTTTGTTGATAATTTTACTGTTTAAAATGATCCGCAAGTATAATTCTGGAGTGCTGTTTAGTTATATGCAAGAAGGCTGTGATGTTTCTTATAGAGAAAAATACATGCATTACATACGCTTTGATTAGGCATGAGTTATAGTGTAATGAGTTCAATGTTAATGAATCACCAATATATATTAAATAAGATGCTTTAAACAGAAACACAGAAATCATGATTATTTGTTGACCAATTGACAAAAATGTGACTAGAGGCTCACAGGAATCTAACCCTGCATTTCCCCTAGGAGAAATGGTTCCATATTTGCTAATTCAGCATTTGCAGATGTTTATAGAACCCAACTACTGTGATTAAGAACTGACTCTATATATCAGGGGCTGATGTCGGAGTAGAAGATTAAAGTTATAGTCAAAAGAAACAGATAATAGGATAATTATTAAAACAATGAGGGCTTTATTCATAGAAGCAAGCACAGACTGATGTGAGGACTATCACTTTAAAGCAGGAAGGTCAGGGATGGATTTTTGAAGGTGACTATACACACTGAATTTTGACAGGCAAGTAGGAATCTTTCAAATGAGAAAGAGAGAAACATTTTGTAATGGCTCAGTTTAGTAAGAGAACACAGTTCTTTCAAGGAACTTATACTAGTTCAGGATGACTAGAAAAAAAAGGCTGAAAGGTTTTGATAGAAGTTTCTAGGCAACTAGGAAGGAGTTTGATACAGGAAAGGCTTTATACAGGATGTTAAAAATTCTGTTTATCCTGAAGACAATGTGGAAGATGATGAAAATTTTAAGCTCTCTTTTTTGACATGATTAGAGCCAAGTTTTAGAATTATTGCTGTTAAAGGCAATGACGATGATGGCAATTGAAGATGAACTGATATGAGGGCAGCTTAAAACACAGAGTTAATAAACTATTGCTATTGTTTAGGAAGAGCCAGAAAAGACCTTAAAACATGACAGTAGCATTGGTCTTAGAGAAGGATGGGAAAAGTTTGAGCAATGAGAAAAAGAAGTGGAGGCATTCTTTGTGGGAAATAACATGAGCAATCAATTTACTTGGACTCTGGTATTTGATAGACGTTTGAAAGGCTTGTGTGGAGAACTAGAGTTATGGAACAGTTAGTGACTAGTTTGAAAATATTGGTGAAGTCACACAGTGGAAAGGCTATAAAACAAAATGATTTCATTCTCTCAACAACATTAAAATTATAAATTTTATTTTAACATATGCAACATAACACTTATCATTTTAATTATACAATCCAATGGCATTTGATATATTCAAAATGTTGTGCAAACAGCAACACCATTCCTCTTTATAATAACTCTTATCATCCCAAACTGAAATGCTATCTCCAATGAAAAGTAACTGATGTCCTTTTCTCCCTGCCTCCTTTTTCATGTCTCATTCTTGGGAACCACCTTTCTATTTTTCTCTCACTACAATAACTCTAGAAACCTCATGTAAGTAAAATCATTAATGTTTGTACCTCTGTTTCTGGCTTATTTCATTTATCTAAATCACTTAACACCCTGGTTATTCAGTAGCTGGATTCTAATTTTCATTCTAGATTCTATATTTTAGAATAAATGTCTACCTTTGTACTTGATATTTTTTTTTCACTTAATGCTTAAGGGCATTTCATTCTAGGAAATTATAAACTCAGAGATCATAAGGACAATTTAGTCTACTACTGGGTCTCCCATACAGAACTTTATTGGTCTATTAAGTGTCTTCAGTTTGTGAATATTTTCATTTCAATTATAGTTCATGAATTTTAGACCCTTTGCAAAGTTCCATTTAGTCTTAACGGGAGCATAAAATAAATAGAACTCAGGAATCAAACTTGAAGGGAAGTTTACTTTCTGAGGATGTKATATGAAAGCTCTCTTTTTTGATACAAGGTAATTTCTCTTGAGATAGAGAAATCCGCTCTACTTTAAAAGAACACCCCACCGCTTATCTTTCAGGTGGTTGGAAAGTATCCGAGAGCTGTCAAAGTTACTTCAAGTTTTGTCTTGGGGGGGCATCCCTAGGTCATTAGGATTTTGTCTGTAAGTGGAGTAATTTTGGAGAGGACACTAATCCTTTGGAGAGTTAGTGGTTTAGCTTAGGGTAGCCCGTGTTTTCCAATCTTGTCCACACCACGCAGTATAAGGTTTCGGTAGGATACTAAGGTAAACATGACCGCTCTCAAGAGGCTCTCCACCCCGCTTATTCTTTCCAGCGACAGCCCTCACACTGAGGAGCTGAAGCTCTCGCAGATTCTGTCTTTCAGATCCGTAATCAGGTTTCGTCTTTAGCCTTTAAGAGAGCCACAAGGTAAAACGGAACCAGGCACGCAAACCACGCAGACACGCACAAACCAAACCATCCTACTTGTCCAGGGCGCACTCCGCCGAATTTACGTCTCTTCCCGACAGTCTCCGGGAGTCACCGCGAGACTTCATTAATTCTCGCGAGATTTATCGGCAGCCATCTTCTTGGGGGTGCTGGGAGCCGGGAAGACCCCCCGAATCGTTCCCATTGAGCTGCCCTTCGTCTTCGCTTTTTTTACTTTTGTCTCTTGCGTTGCCAACAAGCACCTAGTCCCGAAGCTCAGAGGAAGCCCGGGTCTAAGCGCGTTTCGCGCTCCCGGTTCTGGAAGACTCGCTGGGGAGTAGGGAAGGGGGAGGGCCCGGGCAAACCGTTGCTGCCTCAGCCCAGGCCGGGGTCCGGGAAGGGGGAGCTCCTAGCACCCCGAGGACTCGCGGCCTGCGGCGATCCTCCGCGGAGCTGTTCGCCGATCGGGGCTCGCGGGAACCTGCCACCGGCGCCTCCCACCGCGGCCCGCGCGGGCGGCGCGCGGAGGAGGGGGCGGGGGCAGCGGCGGCCGTAGCGGCCGCGACCTGGGCGGGCGGAGGAGTGTGACGGGCCTCGGGGCCCCTGTGGATGGTTTCTAAAATGATCATTGAAAACTTCGAGGCACTCAAGTCCTGGCTCAGCAAGACTCTCGAACCCATGTGAGTATCCGGGGGATATCTCCTTGCAGGGATAGCTGTGGTGGATAGGCAGACACTTAGATCTGTGGTGTTTCCCCAAAGTGCCCGCGGTGGAGGCCGAAACGGTGATCAGAGGTCCCAGGGCTGTTTTCTCCTCGGCCACTCTCGCGTCCAGGTCCAAGTATAACGCCGAGAGCCTGAGCTGAGCTTTATTTTATCAGGGAGCTGAATTTTGAACCGGTGTGTCTCTCGTTTTCCCGTTATGTGTAGACCGACCTCAACCTCCTCGCACACACGTTTTCTGAGGGCCTCAAAATCCGTTTCTTTTTCTTTTAGTGAATTCGAGCATAATTTCTTGCCCTAAGACTATTTCACTTTTTWAAAAATGAAATGGATGGCCTCTATTAGACATTAGGACAGTTCTAGTTAAATATCTCATGTTTCACCTAAATACAATCACTAAAAGAAAGGCCACGTCTCCCATGTGCTGTCTAGCTCATCTGCACCAGTTCTYTTAACTGATTGAAGATGTAACAGGTGCTAGGGTTCCCAGTAAAATTCCCTTTTCCCGCCTACACGTTTGTTCACTTGTAGAGGTGGGAGAAAATTCAGTCTCCATCCATCTGGAATATTAGTTTTAAGTGGAATGCTGTAAGTGGCCTGGGCTTACGGGTGAGTTTAGAGTTCCGAAATGTCTTCTGTTGGAAATTTTAAGGAGTGTTTCAAACACTTACCTGTTAATACAAAATAAATCATGGACTGAGTGCTTTATCGGATTTGGTTGGTTTACAGTCAGCAAATTAAAATACAAAGGGGAAATTCATTTATTTGAGACATTTATTAAGCTCCTGTTATGAACTGTGAGAGGCTTTGGGAACAGAGCTTTTAAGTTTCAAAGCTACAGGATGTAATAAACAAGTGAATAGGTCCATTTCAGATATTGATAGTATCAATAGTGTTATGACCATTGTAATAATAGAGGATCATGTAAAAGAGTGATTAGAATTGGGGCTACTTCACATAGGATGGTCAGACAGAAGGCCTTTGAATAGGTCACATTTTAGCAACATTTAAAGAGGGAAAGGAACCATCTGTGTGAAAGTCTGAGCAAGGACCATTCTTTGCAGAATGGAGAGCAGATGCAAAGGCCCAGTAGCAGACATGATCCTGTTGTGTTCCAAGGAAGAGAAAGGCCATTATGGCTGTAAGGTATCTTGTGATGGGGAAGTGGAAAGACATGAAGTTGGAGAAGTAGCAGGGCCAAGTCATATAGAATTTTTTAGTCCGTGGTGAGGAATCAGGATTTTATTTAAAGTGTAATACAAAGATATTAGAAGATATAAAGCAGGCAAGGACTGATTTAACTCTGCCTGCTTTGTTTAAAGGAGATTAAGGGGGAAAGAATGAGATGAAGGACCTATTCTGACAGAGATGTGGTTGTTTGCATTAGATAGTGGAGACAGAAGTAACCAAATATATTTCTTAAGTAGATCTAATAGAATGTGCTGATAGATTGGCTATGGGAGATGAGGGAAAGGGAAATCAAGGATGATGCCAAAGAAGTTAGTTATCACTGGATGGTGATAGTAGGCTGAAAGAGAACAGGTTGGGGGAGGAGGGAAAAGTGATTGGCTTTGATTATTAAGTATGAGGTATTATACACCTAAATGAGATGTCAATTAGGAAGTTGGATATATGATTCTAGAACTCAGGTCAGCACTAGAGAAATTTGTAGTCATGCAGGTGATATATAAAGTCATAGTATTGTGGGAGATGTCCTAGGAAGCGTGGTTAGGGAAGAGGGGAGGCCTAGAACTGAAGTAGAAAAACTGGGCTGTATGTTAACTAAAGAAAGAACAAATGTGTGACAGAAGAGAATCATTAACTTGATAGAAAACTGCAGAATGGATGAAAAAAGATAGAGGCAGATAAGTGGCCCTTAGATCTGGCAAGGTGGAGGTCATTGGTAATCCTGGCAAAGTAGTTTCATTTGAGTGGAATAGTGCAGACGGAAGTTTTATTTCAGGGGGCTGGAATATACAGCCTAGTGATAGACCATGTTCTTAATGTGTTCAAGGCCCTAGGTTTAATCCCCAGGACCCCAAGAAAACCCCAAATCAACAAAGATAAAAAAATAAAGTTGGGGCTGGGGATGTGGCTCAAGCGGTAGCGCGCTTGCCTGGCATGCGTGCGGCCTGGGTTTGATCCTCAGCACCACATACAAACAAAGATGTTGTGTCCGTCGAGAACTAAAAAATAAATATTAAAAAATTCTCT